CCCCAAAACCCCAAAACCCCAAAACCCCAAAACCCCAAGTGGGGAGAGGACTATTGAATCAAAATTTTAAGTTTAAATTTAAGCTGAGATGAATTAGAAAAAATGGCATTTTGGGATGAAGATTTTCTATATCATTTATTTACTCCTTGGTGCTTTCAGATTTTCATTTAAATCATCTTTAAAATCATCTTTCAAATTCTCCTTCAAATCTTCTTCCAAATTCTCCTTAAAATCCTCTTTCACCTCCCTATAAAACTCTGAGGCGGATGAACTCACTCATATGGAAGAATTTTGGCAAACTTAACAGTTGAATTAATAGCTGATTTTTCAAGTTCTTTCTCGATATCTATATTTGAAATTCCAGCGGATTTGTAAAACCTTACCTTCAATATTCTCTTCGTTCTTGAAATACTCAACTTGGGTTTCTATATATAAATTAGAGACAATATTAAGCAAGATCTTACCTTTAAGCCTGTACTTGCTATAAACTCCATTAAGGAGTCTAAAGTCTCTGCCTGACCACTTCTCTCTTGAATAGTCCGCCTAAAGTTTCACAAAAGGTATACCATAAATTTCTCTACTTTGTGCTTGTGTTCAGCTCTTTTTGCTTCATTCGAGAACAGGCTTGGGACTTTGCTATATGCATCCTCACTGTCACTGGTGTCGCTCTCATTTTCAGTAGGAATAGTATTGATTTTCTGGTAAGCTAACATAAACTTTTCTTTTTCATCCATTAAGGAATTTATCAGAGTGCTCATGGCCCTCATTGATTTGGCATAACCTACAGCGTCGAATTCCTTGATGTATTTTTGCTCCCCTCTCCTGTAGAGCTTCAGCCTTGTCTTGGCATGCAGCTTACTTTTGTCTTTGAAGCAACAGCAAAATGTGAAAGAGATGAAATTGATGAGATTGAAGAGGTAGTCACTGATTTTCCAGTCATATCGAAGCCTGTTCCTCATACTTCTACTGGCCTTATCCTTTATGTTGTTACTTTGATAGCCAGTGTTGTTTGCAAATGAGCTGTCCTTTATGTTCAAGTCTTCTGACTAAAGATCAACAGCTTTGAATACCTTGCTAAACAGTTCGAGCTTATTTTCAGTCGATTCTTTTGTAGCTATTAGCTCAGATCTTCTAAAATACCTGAATTTAGTGTAGTCTGGTCTTCAATTTGGTAGAGCTGGGAAAGAAGGGAGTAAAGGAAGAGTCTTCCAGAAAATATTCCAACAAGGAAGCCCCCTGCAATCTCCAAGATCTCGAACAATCCTCCAATATTTCCAGTAGCTTCCATAAAGGTAAAGACTGATCTTCCGAAGGACTTTGAGTAATTATCCTTTATGAATCTTATTTCTATGGGTTTTACAGAGAATTACTGAACACATCATTTGAGTTATCTATATTTTCAAAGTTAGCCCAACAGAGTTGCATTCTGGGTGTATTTTCCTGTAATTTACCTACAAATATAAGCTAAATTTCAACAAAAATAATCTGAGTGCAAAAACGTGAGTTTTAATCAAGAAAATTCCACATTTTCACTTTGATGTCTTAATTTAGAGAAAGATTTGAAGACCGAAGATGTAATCATAAGAATATGAAAAGGAATTTTGGATTGTAAAATTAAGCTTGAAGATACCTTTATTTATGGACTCTATCCTCTGTTCAGTCTTATCAATAGCTATGAATTCTTGAGTGCTACCTCCTGGTTGGTATGAGAAGTAGCTGTCTTGAACTTCGACTTCATTTTTCCTATAAAATATATCCATGACTCTTACTGAATGTAAGCACTGATTTTGGTCCTGAGGTTGGGGATGGTACTAAACTCAAGACTTCCGTCTATATTGATGCTCAGTTTAGGATAGAAATGAATGATTTTTGTAAGAATTCTAACTAAATACTCATTTTGAAATTTTTGAAAAGAAATATTTGAAGAGGAATGCATTTCATAAACCTTAAGAAATTTTCTTACCAATGTAGGTGTGTATAGGTGAGTCGTAATCATCAAAATCGAAATAGGCATTAACAAATGGGAATTTTAAGTTAAATTTTGCTAATTTTTCATCCAAATCTGCTGGGCATGATATCCCAGAGCACATTTCAAGACTCAAATCAATGTAGTAGAAATTCTCAGAAAGTGAGTTTCCTTGGACCACGAAATTCATGAGTGAAGGGCAATAATATTCATCAATTCCAAGTATTTGAACCTAGAAGTAAGCTAATTCAATACTTCTGTTTGGTTGTCATATTTGAACAGAGAACTGCCACACTTTTCAAATGTAACTTCTCTCTTGATTAACTCTCCAGATACTAAACAAGAGATTATTTCAAAATAGTGTCAGCAAGTTTACCTTTGTCTTTCTGCCATTGGTACATATTCATGGTTACATAGTCATTATTCAATAGATCAAATGGAGTGTTGTCTTCCAAGCTGATGTCAAAAGCGAATGAGAAGTCAGTATTTCTGTAACGTAAATTTGGTCAGTTTTGTAACTTCCGGCGGTTTTATAAAATTTAATAGAGAATGTAACGATGATGCTTTGGGGAGAATAGGGGCTTACCCTACAGTGATGGGATCTTGATCGTTCAGGATGTCTAGAGATATGTGAGAATTAGGGTTTGAAGAATTTGGTCGTTGAGTGTTTTAGGAATTTTGAGAGACTGATTTGAGAGAACTGTTTTTTCGAAGTTAAATTTTTGTTATTTATCTGTTTATATGGGAGTAAAATTATTAAATGTAAATATTTTGCTATCTGTTCCAACTTAGAGTTATAAAATCCCTGCCTAAGCTTAGTAATATTTTAATAATATTCAAAAACATTCTATTTCATCTAAATTATACTTTAGCTTATCTCTCAAAAAATTTCATCGTTTCTTCCCTTTCCAGGCCCCATAAGCTCAAGTAGTGTTGTTTGCCTTATCCCTTTTTCCTATGGTCTGTATTTCTGGGTACAATTTAAATCTAACAACAAGATTTCAGGTGAATTTATTCAGCTGTGCTCTTAAATTCCATACAAACTTATTCAGTAGACAAATAATATAGTTTCCTTAGGGATTTTCAAAATCTGGGCAAGTCGTTTGGAACGCTATTTGCACCTTTTGAGTACCAAATTGTCAGCATTTAATATATCTTCTTGAGATTATAAGTTTACATCGACAGAATTGTCAGAGAAGGCTCAAGGAGGTATCTTACCTTTTGCAACAGTGTTAACACTATTTTTGTGTATCTCCTCTTTCTATTGGGAATTTGTAAAATAAAACCTTGGATTCTTACCGAACATTATCCTCAGCATGATGTAAGTGTAGATTAGGATGACGATTTTTATAATTATTGATAAAGTTCCTCCAAATAAAGTTTTGAATTCTCTAAAGTATAGATTACTCTTTAAGCCAGAGACAATTAATCAGTGTTGTCAGAATAGCTTACTCGTTTCCCTGATATGTAAAGCTTATCTTCTTCGGATACCTAAAAGCTTGATCAAAATCAAACAGAACTTGACATGAATACAATAAATCGACGAATGATTTGATAACAGTAAGATCCTTACATATCTAATCAACTGATTTTGGCACATACAAAGGATGCAGCTTGTTTTAAAAATCTTCCTTTACTCATATTTTCGAGTTTATTAATATTTAAATTTTCCTCAATATTAATATCTAATGTTGGGGTTTTGGGGTTTTGGGGTTTTGGGGTTTTGGGG